CCCCCCGTCTCTCCCCAGAGCCCCCGAACAGGTGGAAGGTCTCTGTATTTGTCTCTGAAGATAGCTTAGTTTATTTTCCAGGCAGTTGTGGGGCAAGGGCTCTGTGTAGTGGCTGTGGATTTGGGCTGGAAGACTTAACTGCAAGTCAGTGACTTTGCTTCTGACCAACTGCATAAAGGTTACTCCTTACTGGGTTGATGAGGCCCCTCAAAGATGCAGGTTTCTGAGAAATTAATGCATTTTGCTTGAAAAGCAACCTATTTTTGATATAGTTTTTCCACAAAAATCTTTAAAGAATGTTGTTCATTTCCAAAGAAGCCAAGAGGGAGCGTTTTGAAGATGCTTACTACTTATGCAGCTGTAGGGCATATGGAAATGGATAATGTTGAACTCTTAGGTTAGAAAGTCTTACCTGTAAAAAACTTACCTGTAGCTTATTTTCTATTGAAGCCACTCCTGTGTGGAGGAACCTGTTTGCTGAGTAGTAAGAATACGCTCGAGAAGCTGTGCTTGATTAAACGTACTTGTGTGTTGGTATCATGCATGTGTCCCGTTTGCCTCCTGGTGTTCTGAGCACCTGGCAGCAGTTCTATGTGACTAGGGAAACTACTGAATGGAGCGTGGATAGGACGGCTGTGGACCTGACCGGGTACAAGTTTTCTTGTCCGCTCCCCTCTCTCAACTGGAAAGAAATTCTTGACACTTTGATTATAACTGACTTATTCTTTCTGTGTGATGCTTTTCCCTGTAAGAATGTTTTGAAAATCAGTATGGAGACTAATATCTGCTTTCTTATGCATCATTTGGAGGGAAACTCCATAGACAGGCAGTGTTTGTTAAGTTGTAGGGCAATTTATTCCACCCAGGCACCTCTAGAGGGGGGTAATGAGTGGACATTCTCAACTGGAGTCCTAGGCACTCAGACAGCTTACAGCTGGGTACCTTGTAGATACAAATTTGAATGGAACCTGAGACTATACCTGTTTCCCTCTTCCATATGGATTATTGAAACAAAATGACCAAGACAAAAATCATGGCTGTGTGGGTCCTTAACGGGAGGGCTTTGCTTCTTTATGTGTTGCCCAGATTTGAAGGCCTGTGCAGTTTGGTGAGTAGGTGCTGCTTGTAAGCTGACAACAATAAGAAACTAGAGGATGTTTTGCTCATTTGCTCACGTTTTCCTTTTTTCCTTCTGCAAAGTAATGTAAGGGAGTACAATCTTTTACGTAAACTGATGCTTTTGATTGAGCAGAAAATCCGAGGACCGAGGGTTACTTTTAAGTTTTTATTACAGAAACAACGCTTCTGATGTGTCTGTTTCCCATTGCACACTCAGGATGAGTGAGCAGTAGTTATGAGAGCTCTGGACCCATCAGGGCAGTTAAAAGAACAATGTTCATTTTTGCAGAAATAGACTATGTGGCCAGATTCTACCATTTTATTGTCCTATAATCAGTTGTGACCAGTGACACGCCAAGGCCATGGCCACCACATCTTTGATCACAGACTTAGAACCTTTGGACTCGAATCATTATTGCAATCTAGGCCTCAGGTGAGTCTTGCCCAGGTGCACTGAGGTATTTAGTTTGCTTTTGGGAAATGAGTAGGAGTCAGGAAAGGAAGGACTAGAGTTCTTTGTAAGTGTAGAACTGAAAAAATTCTCGGACATAGCTGTAGAGGGGCCCTTGCAAGAGAGCTGCAGAGGTCATTGCTGTCTCCATCACATATCGTGTAGCTGAAAAAAGAGTAAGACCCACAACTGTCGTCTTTGACCTTGCCCTAGAGGGCTCTTGCCATCACACCACCTTGCCTTGGCTTCCTTCCACACCCATGTTCTGAACAATTGCCCCCTGTTTCAGTACCAACACACCCGGCCTCCCTCTGAGTGCTGGGTCCCTACTACATCTCTTTTGCCTCCCACATCCAGCCAGGCTGGTTCAGGCCAATTCAAGCGACCCTTCCTCAATATTTGTCCTATGTGTGGCACTGCTACGCTCTGTGACTCGCGATAAGATGGCTTTTCCAAATTCAACACTCCCCTTTCCATCTTTTGTTACCTTTAAGATAACTTGTGTTCCCTTAGTCAATTGCTCACTGAATATGTACTGAGCATCCACCCTGTGTCTGGCCCTGGGATGCACATTAGGTGTAAACTAACTGACAAGGCCGACTGACACTGACTTCAGAGCATCCTCGTCTGCTTAGATTTGAGTGATAACCTTCACACGCCCAGACTTTCCCCAGATCCATCTCACACATCACCACTGGAGGAGTCTTTGGAACAAACTTTTGGTCTGTAGGGGGTCTCAATTGCCTCAGGCTGAGGCTTCCTCCTCAGGGCTTGATATTCTCAGTTCCTTCTCTTGTCTCCCGTGGCTCTTCCACACACCCTCTAGTACAGCAGATCCATTTATCATTGCTCCTACCAACCTCCCGCAACCCACCTTTGGGTTTCTGGTCATGCCAGCCCCTCTGCTGAGATGCCCTACCCTCTGGCCCCAGTCATCATCTCTTAAGGCCCAACTTCATCAGTTCCGCATGAAGAGTCCCCCACCTTATTATCATCCCCCTTTCCTCTAAAAAGAAAAACACTTACCATTTCCTTCCCTGAAGGCTAGTTGGGAAAAGCGTGCTCAGAAAGTGCACCACGTGCTATGAAGTAATGGGTTTTCATTGTGTGTGTCAGGGCCTCCATTGATAATCTAATGAGAGTCCTAGGCTCTATTCCCAGAAAAGTGCACATATGCAAATCTCTACAGTTTTACATATAAATTCAAAGATTTGGAAAGCAGAATTGCTCTTTGATTCCTCAGGGGGTCCACGGACCCCAGCTGAGGAGGTCTTGTTCTAAAGAGCCTCTCAACATCACTGTTGGTGTTGTTCTTGTCTTTTACACATCCAGGGAGGAGAGAATTGGTATGAGATGTGCAAGCAAAAGTCTATTGTTATTCACCCTGAATATGTGCTGAGTGACAGAGAGGGAAGAACGCACAGCTGCCTCACATTGTCTGAGAAACTATCTTTATTCAGACAGAGCTGGAGTTTTTATTTTATGTGTGTGTACATGTCTTTTGGGATGTATGCACCTTTGAGGGTATACAAGTCAGTATGGGGAATTGGATCCTGCCCAGATGGAGATATGGGTGTTTGCAAGAAGTGGGTGCTGGGGTTAGAATTCTGACCCTCACAGGCTGGAGAAAATGGTTTGTCTGTTAAAGGCTAGATTCACAGGCAGAAATATTAGGATTCTGGGCCTCATAATTGAGCAGCAATCACTTGGAACCACCGAGCCATTCCTCTAGCCCCCCAGATTTACAATTTTGAAAGCGATGGAGTTTGTCATTGTTGTCAGTGTTACTTATTTTTAGCCACTTCTAAAGTTGATGTAGCAAAGTGAGTTCAGGACCAAGTCAGCATCATTTCTGCCCTGAAAACCACCACTTCTGAGTGGGTAAGCAGTGGACTTGGGGCTGAAGGTTGGAAAGAAGTGGTTGGGTTTTTTTTTTTTTTGTCTTATGGAATGAGATCTATGCAACAAATTTTCCTGTGTTCACCTTATTATGGGTCGATTGCTGATTCTATTTTCCATAAGATGGTGATGCATTTTGCTGGCAGGGGCAGCTCAGTTTATTCTTCCATTAAAAAACAAAAAAATAAAAAGAAAGAAACAAAACCAGCACAAAGTTATCTTTAGTGCTCCCGACTGACCTGGGTTCCTTTCTGGGTGTGCAGTACTGTTTGAGTAGACCTAGGACTAGTATACTGAATATACTAGGAAAGTATATTCAGTGGCAATTTCCCGCTTTGAAAGCTGACCTCTGCCAGTCCATTGTTAGCAGGTCCGGAGATCAATGGTGAACAACTGTGACATGCTTTGCCTTTATTCTGCGCTTCTGGTGACCTGAATGAACCTGCAGAGTTCATAAGGATTCCCTTGGTGGGTAGGTAAGACTGGCATGCACCTTGCCTGTAGAATTCTTACAAGTGCCATGGGTAGGTAGCAAACACACGTAGGCTGCTTCATTTATTTCCATTCTCTACTCTTTCTTCTTTTCAATTCTTCACCTGGAGCTTCGGTTTTTGGTCTTTGAAGAATTCCTGAAGCCCTGGAGCAGTGATTGCTGGCACCAGTCAGTACCTTCCCTTTCAGAGTACAGTAATAGGAGGTAGTGAAGCGTGGTTTCAGGGAAAGGGACGCAGCGATTTTAGAGCCTGGAAATTCTGTCTTTTGCAGAAGCAGAGAGCTTCTCCAGACCCAGAGTTTCCAAAAGTCATCGTGCTAGACCGTGACCACCACGAAGCTCTGGTTTCAGGAGGATCATTGCTCCAGGATATCTAGCTCGTGGGCACAAGAAGGGGCCTTTGCCCCTTCGTAAGTACGTTATGAATCTGGTCCCACGCCAAGTGCTGCTACAGTGCTTTGGAGTTCTGTGCACAGTGAGTTCTCGCATTGCTTCCTAGCATTTGACAATACTTCCACCCTCATTACTATTTTCACTACTCTAAGACAGTCTACTGATGGCTGAGTACAGTACACATCCATTTATCACAGTTTATGGTTTAAAAAGTAGTATTGTTAAATGAGAGCAATTTGTCTCCCACCCTCTGTCAGCAAACATTTGTTTTTATTTATTTGCTTTTATTCTGTGGTTCTAGAATACTTCATTCGTCAATAATATTTTAATTTTTCCTCTATTTAGCACTTGAGCTACCCTCTGATCTTTAAAAAATGGATTTAGCTTATAATTTGCCTTGTTTATTAGTGCTGGCCAAACCGGTAACAAAAAGGACAGAATGGTTGTTTCAGGGCTACAAGATAGGGAGGCTGTTCAGTTGGAGGCGTTTCCCCTTTAACAGTTGTTTAGAATGGAAGTGGTCTTCCATACTTCCTTC